CCAAACCCGCATGGGCCCTGACGAGGGTGTTTTGGATACACATGTGACATCTAGGGATGCTACGCGGGTCAACAAATTTGAAATCGATCCTCCAAACCAAGTAAATAGGAGTTGATAGGGTTTAGTAAACAATCATAAAATGCCCCCAAACACCCGCATGGGTCCCGACGAGTGTGTTATTGATACACACGTGTCGTCTAAGGATGTTGCGCGGGTCGATAAGTGAATTCAAGTTCGAACCCGATCCTTTATGCTAATCAATAAGAGTTGACAGGGTTCGAACCATCAAATAAATATGCGGTGATGACGACTGGTATATTTATCTTAATACATTTATATTAGACCTTCAAGACCTATAACAATGAAAATTCACTAATAAAGGCATGAAGCCGACGAAACCCGATCCCCTATCACCAAGTTGATAGGGTCGACAGGGTTCAGTCGACAAAAAAAATTAATCCCAAACACCCTGATGATGGCCGCATTGATCGAAGATCTCAACCAGAGGGGTTAATTTCAAATATTTCAAATGCCACCTAAATGTCCATCAAAATCTAAAACTCCAAAAAGTTCAAAACCCAAAAATCCCAAAAAATCCAAAATATTTAAAATTGAAATAATCCCTCAAACTATTTAAAGAAAAAATCATCCACCCTCCACAACAGTTTGTCAGGGTGGACAAATTAAAATTTACTTCATCTCACATAAAACTAATGCTTAGTCGAAAATATAACTAGGATCCAATTTCAAATAATCTCCTGCCAGAAAGGACGTGTTACATATCCTCTAACCGGCGGTTTTGCCATCAAATGGCACCGCAGGATAAACGGTTATGACCCGGGGCCCTCTGAACTGAGTGGTTTTGCCGCCAAATGGTACCACGAAATACCGTTATGGCCAGAGCCAATACGATCCTTAGTGGCATCAAATACTTGTGATATGAATCAATAGGATATGATCGATAGGACATAAAGCCCTCTGTTAACTAAGGTGGATTCAAATTTGTCCCCTTAAACAAACATCTAACCCAGGTCTACAAGGTCCCCTTGGACGAAGCAACCCATGGCTGCCGACAAGGATCCTTCTGTCAGGTTGGGTCGACTACCTCCTCTGACTAAGTAGACCAGAAACCATGATAACCCGGGACGACGAAACCATGGGATCTTGATCGGGTCCATCATCCATTCCACCACCATCCGCTTTAAGTGTAAGATAGTGAAATTTTTTATTTCAAATATTATATTTTCCAATCCTTCAAATTTCAAAAGCCCGTGCTGCTACTATATGCCAGATACTACGTATTTATACGTATCTGATTGACGACTAGCCTTAATCGAAAGTTCCTCTCGTGATTGGGAGGGGTAATTAATTATAGGGGCTTGCGCCTATAGGAAACCATAACTCAGATCATAAAGTCCTCGCAAAATGAGGGTGAAATCTTTGGGTAGTGTCTTACTACAAAACCATCTGCATTCCAAAATTTACCCCGGAACTTAATTCCGTTAAAACTCCCTCCAAACGAAATCAAAAAGCGGCAGGAGGCCGGGGCTGATTTTTTGGAGCCCACAAAGGAGCTCCAGCGGATTGACCTAGATGCACTAGAGATTTATGAGAGCACTCGACATGCATACTCGACGGAGTCGAGCTCTTTTTCACCCCGGGAGAATGCTGAGGACATCTGACCGTGAAAAGTTTATCAGAGAAGGGGCCGAATATCTACAGCTACGATTGGACCACTTTATTTCTGAGCAATTGTTTGTATTTGATTTTTCTTATATATTTTTCCATTTTTACCCTCAATTGAGGGAATAAGCTTATGTGACTGCAGGGGGCCTTCTGTCATTGGATATTTTATTTTGAGTCGTCTATTTATAGACCTCTCTCCCTCTTTGGAAAGCATGATGATTATTATGATGAAAATTTCTGCACTTTGTCTCTTGGATAGTTGTGAGAGTTCTTGTAAGAGTTTGAAGTCCCTTGGTGAGGGAAAAACACTTCCCATCAGCCGCAGGAAGCGTCCGGGTTCGTGGATTATCTTCACCTCCAATTCATCTTGCTATTTTTCCCCTAGCCGCCGGCCCACTCCTTCCCCTAGCCGTTGGCCCCTCCACAACCCATCCTTTGGCCGACTACCTCCCTAAACTGTAGTCCCCCTTCTGTTCCTACACCGCCGGCCACTCTTCCCTCCCCTTAGCCGATTACCCACCCTAACAACCGACTCCCTTCCCCTCCTAGCTACCGGCCACCCACCTCTCCCCATTGCCTCCAAAATTGCGAACCAAGTAATCAATACTTTCCAAACTTAGAACATCGTATATTTAGAAATATTTAAATTCTAATTCTAATTTACTTAAATTTGGTATTTCTTTCTTAAATGAGACGAGTTATATTTGAAAAGTTCCCATTCATGTTAATTTGAATTTTGAATAGAGATTTGCCTTAAATCTCCTTTTCTCATTTAGTTTTCTAAAATTTGCAATTGCTTTAAATCCTCTTAATTATTTCGTGTCCCTTAGGCCTTGCCACCCCCTTCCCCTCTCTACACAATTATAACCTTTCAACTTTGAGTTGCCTAATTAGCTCCTCTCCTCTCTCCTTATTTTGGGGTCATTCAAATTCAAATTCTCCCAAGTCCCCCCCCCCCCCCGCCCCCACTTAAAGCAGCCATTAAATCCTAATCAATCCCAATTGATACTTGTCATAATTTGCATGCCACCTAGACAAGAAAGTAATTCCATAAATTTTTTAATTGCTGGAATTAACTTCTGAGTTTCTAAATTGCTATCCATGCCTTATTTTATTCTCCAAACTCGAAATTAAACCTCGCCTATCACTCCCCATCTATGGCCGACCACATACCACCCTTCTCCATGGACAATTATTCTTCCTAACTTGTTCTTCCCTCAAGAAGGAGAACATAAATCCCCTCCCTGGGCTGGCTACACCTCCACCCACCCCCTCTACACTAGTCGTCCACTTGAAGATCTCACTAAGCATGAATTATCAAACCCTTTTGATCATGTTCTAGCAAATGATCGAACAAGCACCAGAAACACGAGGACGGTAAGCCTTCTTTCTTACTTTATACCTTTTCGATTCCTCCTCAATCATGGCATCGCTTGATCTTGAAGATTTATCAGCATAGCCCAAATCAAGAGTGTGTGTGAGTGGATCTTTATAGTGATTATTCTAATTGTTAAATTAGAGATTCTCTTTGAAAGTCTCACATCAGCATTGTATGATTTAATTTGATTATTTTGTGATCCTAATGTTATCATGTAATTGATTGCTTGAGCTTAATTACTATCTTGTTGGCTTTAATATTTCGCTTAGATACTTGGGAAGTTAGTGAATTGTTAAAGTTCTATTCATAAGCGTGTAATTTTCAAATTCACTAACATTACATATGCGCGTCATCCTACATCACTTAGAATATAAGTATCTAATATTAGTTTGTCATTATTGCACCGACTTTGTAGTTCTGGTTAGCCAAATCAAAACTTGAGAATTGGTTTATTATATTTTAGGCCCATATTCTCTTAGCAGCTTGAAACATATTTAGAGTTATGATGATTTGTGATGGAGGTGTACAAATGAGAATGAATATTTTTTTTCTAAGTGGAACGAAATTACCCAATTTTTTGTCAAAATTTGTTGAACTTTCTGTTTGGTACTTGCGTTTTGCTGACTTGTGTTTTTGTGGGGCACCCAGCGAAGCTTGTTAGTATGTGGAAGACTCGCACTCTACTCGATGTAGACTCAATTGCAAAGGAGACGGTCGTCCACTTAGGCAATGTTTTTATATTAGTTCCGTACATCGTCACCTTGGAGGATCTATCCCTTGCTTCCCTCGAATCATTGTGTGGGGGATCATGTAGACTCGTCAACTAGAAGAAACATGTGTTGTACACAATGTGGTATGCAGGATCAGAATGCTATAGGAGAGTCTACACCTAAAAAAAAAGTATATTATTATACTATTATAGGCATATGGACTAAATGGAATGGATGCATGTGTTGCCATATCTAATGTGGTTAGAATAATCTTGATGTGTCTTTGGGGAGTGCTTATAATGAGTTCCTTTGGTGATTAATCTTGGTGAATGTCTTCGATGTATGTCTCTCGCAAGTGCCTTTAGTGAGTGCCTCCGCTGAGTGCACTAAGCGAGAGCCTTAGGCGAGTGCCTTGTGTGAGTTCTTTTGAGCTTGAGACTAATATAATTGAAGAGGGTGTTAGAGCATTATTGTGGGAGTAAATCTCCTGTAGTTTGGATGAGGTGCCTTTTTAAGAATGATGCGTCACTTTAGCTGGAGTGAGTATTTTTTTAGGTTGAGTTCCTCCTTTGGTCGAGGTTTGATGAGGCGAGTTCTTCCATCAGTCAAACTTATCCTAGGTGAATGCTTGTTTGGTTGAGCTTTTATGGGGTGAATGCTTTGTCTTGATTGGTTGAGCTCTTTGGAGAGGAGGGTCTCCCTTGGGCAGGCTCCTTCGGGATTCTTACCCTATCTTGCTAAACTCTTGTCAAGTGCCCCTTTTGATCGAGCTCCTTTGAGATGAATTAGTGCATTAGAATATACGGTATCTATTCAAACTCCTTTAGAGTTGTCAACATCAGGGCCACCCCATTATGTTTTGGTGAAATGTTGAGTGGCATATTTGTAAATGAATTGAATCTTTAATGAAAATGTGGAGAGATTATAAAAGAGATTACTATGCTTAAGATGCATTGTAGCTATTATAATAATGTTTTGAAAAGGAGGGTTTACATTTATATAATTTTTGGAGAATTTAATATATAATGTATTTTTTTTAATAACTTTAGCTATGTTTTAGCTTCTTTTTTTTTTTTTAAAGCAAACGATATTGGTTACATTTTTTGTGTTAAAAAATCTTTTTATAAAACTATTTAACCATAGACAATACTAGTTCATTTTTTTCTTGTTGGTGATATGACATATCCATGTGTTTGCTTTTTCTTTTGTTACTACAAAATGAATAGGTGGAGGGCGTGGACGTGGCGCATGAAGTGGCCCACAGAGAGATAATGCTTATATATTTATTTGTTCAAGGCTCTCTCTCTGGAGCATAATTTGTTCAATGTGAAGTTTAAATGTTTTATGTATTGTTGTGTTTCATCTCTTGCTCCCTATGATCTGTCTGAAAAAATATAGATATTGATATCTAAAGATGTATGGACAGTAGCGGTAAGAAATTAATGGTGCTTTCTCTCGTTCTTATATTCTCTGCTGCAACTAGGATTTCTCCGCTCAAATGCTTGACCTTGCTCTATTAAGGTCGGCTTTTATTTTTTTATTCTCCGAATCGAGCCAACTTATATTAATGAGTATTTTTTTAATGCATATCATACTGACAAGTTTTCTTTTACTGAGTATATAAATGGGAATTTTTCATTTGGCTAAACATATTTTATTTATTTATTTATTTATTTTGAAAAAATGCGATTTGCATTAAAATATAGAAAGAAACCCCTAATATAAACTAAGACACTAAGTGTTCCTTGATCAAAAAAAGGAAAGGAACCTTATTGAAAAGCATATTTGTTAAAATAAACCTATCATAATTGAAATGAGATCTACTATTTCCTATTTTAAAATCTTTGGGGTGGAGGGGATATCAGCTTCTCTGAGTTTCCAACCGGTTAAAAAATAAAACATAGTACCGATCTCATAAACATATTTTATTAAATGATTTAGTTGTCATTTGTTTAATACAGATCAGATAAAGAAATTATTGATCATGCGATAAAATATTTCAACTAATGATTTAATTTTTTTTTTGGACATTACGGTCTGGCTAGCAAAGCGGCAAAGTGCAAGTAGATGGTGGAATGTAAAATGGGAAAATAATAACTTTTATCTCTGTGCTTTATCGTCAGTTATTTTTGCACCCGATCAACATCGGGTGTTTTGTTAATTCATTGATCTTTTTTACTTTTTACTTTTACTATGGATAAGTTGAGTTTGAGTCACTCCTAATTTAAGCTTAAGCATAATTAAATTCAGACTGGAGAGAATGATTATGATTCAAATAATAAATAATTATTTGATATAATAAAATGAAATGTCTTAAAATATTTTTAATAATTTTGTATTTACTCTTAAATGTCTAATATATTTAAAATAAATTTTATAGTAATATATATATATATATATATATATATATATATATATATATTACAATAAAATGTGATGGCTTATGGGTTAATAATTTGAGCTGAGGTTGGCTTAAGAAATTCTCTGAATTCTGCTCATTAGCTATTTATTTAATCGAGCTTGAGCTAACTGAGGAGTTCTCTTGACTCAACGCTTTTGAGGATGCATAGCATGTTAATGAGATAAGAGGGATATAGGTTGTGATGTCTTATAAGGAGTAGCTTATTAAATCATGTCCAAGTATTTTAAATTTTGACTCGGTATACTTTTAAACACTAGTAAGATGAATTAAAAGAGTGTTTCAGAAGAGGTTGGTTTAGTGTTGACTCATAGATCGATCTCATCCCGGAGAATATCAAGTCATTTTGCCTCATGCCAGCCGTATTGACGAAGTTTTTTTGGATAGTTGGAAGAGTATATATTTGTTTTCATGTCAACACATTACAACTAGATAATAATGGTAAGAAATGGTAGTGCTTTCTCGTCTTCTAAATTGAGCATTCTCTTGATAGTTGTTACTTTTAATTTCACTACTATAATTAAGGTTTTAATACTCAGACGACCTTGCTCGAATAAGATTTTCTCAATTTTTTTTCTTCTTATGCATTTAGCCATCTGGAAACCTTTAGACTCAAATTCTTTTCCTAGTCTCCTAATCCTAACATCTAGCATTCTTGATGCCCATTATTCTCTCTAGCCTTGTTGCCTAGCTACATTCATGCCACAATAGTTGCTCGAGTAAACATCCTAGTTCATCAACCTCATAGTGCTTATAACCTAAACGACAGGGTTGATGCTCACACACTGCAAAATCACATGATTTTAAAGAGCCATATAGGAATCAACATTACTCATGCAATGAGCATATAATTCAAAGACATATAGTTAAGCTGAGTTTAAGGATTTACTTGTAGGTATGTGACTCGCCTCAGGATTGGAGGCAACTCAATTAGTTATGTATTCTAAGTCGTAATTTAATGGTAAATCATATCATTAGTGTGTACAATGTAAGGGATGAGCTGCTATTGAAATATCTATTCAAAGTGAGGAGAAAAAGGGACAGGCTCAAATATTTTCAGATTTTATTGTTCCCTATAAATCAAAATCAACTCGTCAATCCTCTTTCAAAATAAAAGAACCTTGATGGGAGATCAACAGTGAAAATCTTGAGACCGAAGAAGAAGTTTTGCAGATTGAGGCCAATCATTGGATGAGTTGGGTGGATCACTTTATTAAATACTTGAAGAGAGGAATGATCAATGTAGAGGTCGATGATTAATGATAATTTATGATTAAAGCAGCCAACTACCTACTCTTACGAGGTGAGTTGTTATGAAGGTTGGCTACCTTGCATAATTGAGGTATGTGTGAAAAGAAGGAAAGAAGTCATGCTCAAGAAAGTTCTTTAGGTGTGTGGTAGCCACTCTGGAGGAAGAAGACTTCCCAATAAGATTAAGGGAAGGAAACTTTTGGATAACATTGAGGGATGATGCATAGGATCTCTTGAAGAAATTCTCCAAGTGCTAATGATTCATTCCCATGAAATTATAACCCTCTTACATTGTTATACCCAACCCTCTATTTTGAAGTCAAAATTTATCCTTGAATGTAGTGGCACTCCAAGGTGCAATGTTGTGACACTAGTTATATTCTTCATTTCTATCTTTTTCTTTGAATTTTCCTACACAAAAATATAATATTAGACAATTATAATACATCATAGGCTAACTTAAATCATAACAAATTTTAAACTAATAAAATTCTCAAACATAAATTATTACCTATCCTCAAGTAATCTATTTTCACCTTATTTTTTAATTATCTTATTTTCCTTGAATGCAATCATTTGATTTTTTTATTTTCAAATACTATAAATTTAATAGTTTAAATATAAATTTATGATTAATAACTCCATTAATAAAAGTTATAATAGCCTAATATTTCATCTATACTAATAAATATTCTTTTAAATTCAACTCCTCAATGTGTATGTGAGAGATTTGACAAGCTTACCTAGGTTTAATGATTTTGAGTTTTGGCGAACTTCATATTTATTTAATTTTTTTACTCATAGTCCTTTTGTGCCATGATTCCTATAATTCCCCTTAGGACAATCCCTCCATAGATCATTTAGATGGAGCTGAGCTTTAAGGTTCTAATATTTTATGTTTTAATATTTAACTTTTCACTCTACTTTCTTTTTCTTTTCTTTTTTTTCTTTAATCCTATCCTCTCTTTTCCTTTTCTATTTTTCTCTTTTTTCATATTTTTGCTAAATATTTCTTAATAATTTTGAATACCCATTTTTCTCTCCCCCTTGCGTGATCTATGTTATCACTACCTAAGGTTCATCAAAGGTCTTATGGTTTCATAAGTACATACTTATAATAAGCCTTCAAATTAATCAAAATTAATAATCTTTTCTAACTAAGCCTTTAGTCAATTAATCTTTGAATAAGTAATAAAGTGTTTATGTGCTTTTTACGAGTTCTATCTATTAGGAAGTACTAGTTTTAGTGTAGTTGCTAGTTATTATACATGTTGCTTAAATTTATTATGTTCAACTTTGTGTGCTATTATTCACATAAGTTTTTATTTATCTTTTTTATTAAATTTTAAATTTACAATCCAAGCAAATATAAGTTATGATAAATTAATATCTACAAGTGCAATAGAAAAATTTAAAGGCAAATGATAAAATTAAGCTCAGAAAATAGAATAAAACATAATTTTATTTTCGCTTATGCCATGGGCTAGGATGTGACTTGTAGAGTTGAAATATGCTTAAGTTTTTTTTATAAATTAATGAAAGCCAACTAAAATATGCAAGTATACGTGCTGAATCATGTAATAAAGTGATAAGTAGAGTGTCGACCCGACGAGTAAGTGTTATGCTTAATTATAATTAAATTACTACTATTTAATCTAAATGCATAATTTATCATACAGAAAATAGAAAAATTATGTTTGTAAGTTTTTTGTCACTGAAAGAAAAACATGCATGGAGATTTTGATACTTATGGAAACAAAGTATTTTGGACTAACAAATATAAATAAGTTAGTTTTCTTAACGAGATTCTTAATTTTTAGATATAGATCAGTGCATATGCATCCCTAGAACTATGTTGAGCTTGTAGGTATGAAAAAAAAAAAAAGATTTATGACCTTCCTAAAATTTTTCTCTCCATAAAACCTGAAATATTAAACATCATATATCTTGGCATGTCAACATTTTCTTTTAATGCTCCTAATTATTCTAACATTTCTCTATCAAGGCTATACATTGCACTAGATATTAACCAGACATATGATCATTCTATGAATTAAATGAAGAACATGAGATATTAAAAATATTAATGTATCATTCAAGGCACAAGAGTTTACATTAGTACTTATTATGCTTTTTACATCATCAGCCTAGCTAAAAATAGAGAATTAGCTAGACATGGAAGATTCAACAAGCAAAATCATTTTTATTTCATTCATTAAAAGAAGGAATACAAGAGGAGTAATAAGAAAATTATTACCCAAAAAGATAAAATGATCTTCTCCACATTCCTTCATCCTTAAACCATAGATTTGCTTACACAAATAGGCTAAGATCTCCATAATGAATGTATCTTACACTTCCTTATATTCACTTATATTTTACTCGAAGAGGGCACTAAAGAAACACACTTAAAATTATAGAATTTTGCTTAAGTGATAAAACTCCCTAAATAATAAAACTAAACAATTATTTATAACAAGTATAGGGATATATTAAAGCATTGCAACACTCGAAAGGTATGGTGCCATGATGGTATAAAAAAACTAGCACCACGATAATATAAAGTTAGCTCCACTATCACGTTGGCTGACTTGGCATGATTAATGATTAAAATGACTCATCTTTTGGCTGAGTCGGTGTGGCTCCTCGCATTGCCAATTTCTCCATCATGGTTCTCAAAATGTTGAGTGCTATGGTATTTGATTATGAATTTTGATGCTGAGGTATTGCTTGGCTTGGTGCTCCAGTGCTTATTTTCCTCAAGCTCTAGTGCTATGGTGTTGAATTTGGGCGC